GAGCCCTCAGCACAAGAAGGACATGGAACTGTTGGAGCGGGTCCAGAGGAGGGCTACAAAAATGATCCAAGGGCTGGAGCACCTCTCCTATGAGGACAGGCTGAGGGAGTTGGGGCTGTTCAGCCTGGAGAAGAGAAGGCTGCGGGCAGAGCTGAGTGCGGCCTTCCAGTACCTAAAGGGGGCCCAGAGGAAAGAGGGGGGAAAATCTTTTTAGTAGGGCCAGCTGTGACAGGACAAGGGGTAATGGTTTTAAACTAAACCAGGGTAGGTTTAGACTAGATATAAGGAAGAAGTTCTTTACAATGAGGGTGGTGAAACACTGGAACAGGTTGCCCAGAGAGGGGGTGGAGGCCCCATCCCTGGGAACATTCCAGGCCAGGTTGGACGGGGCTGTGAGCAACCTGATCTGGTTAGCGGTGTCCCTGCTCCTGCAGGGGGGTTGGACTGGGTGACCACTAGGGGTCCCTTCCAACCCAAAACATTCTATGATTCTATGATCCAGAAGAGATGACTGGATTTTATACCCAGTTCTGTATGGTAACAAGACACTGACATTCCTTATGGCCTAGAACCTGATCTGGAGATGACCCACATTTCTGTTTTCCTCCCCTTATGTCAAGGGAGGACCAGAACATTCATTGCTCCAGACTGTCGAAGCGTTGGTCTCCCCCTGTAACGGACAGGAATTCTTCAGGGCCAAATCTGATTTAGACTGTGGCACCCCATGCTGGGAAGGAAGGGAAAGCCCTGCTAAGACCAGAGTTTATTAGTTGTTTTTCCTGTTCTCCATCTGGGAATAAGCAATAACAGGTTTTCTAAAATTTTTCAGGACTGATGGTTTTGAACACTCCCATGGCTTAAACCATTCCACCAACCACCAGCACGCCTGGATAGACTATTTGCTGAGAAGACGATGCTGTAAGTTACCCTATAACACAAAAAGCACGTGCTGTCACTTAGTCATTTGGTATTTTTTCCAGTATTTTTGTACTCATGGTGCAATATCCAAACGCTACAAGTATGGTACTAACAAATGTAAAAAAAAAATAAATACCTTTTGTATCCTTAGTTTCGTCTTCCAGGAACCTGTGGTAGAGGTTTCTGACTGGTGCATTCATAGATTTCAAAGGCTGATGCAAGATCTTGTACTTGCCCACCACAGCCTTGTTTAGATCTTGAACAACTGCATTAATCTGATCATATGTTAAACGACCTTTCATATACCTAAAAATAAAAATAAAAATCAGTAACCAGAGAGTCACAACTGAAGTTCCGTGTTTATTTTTCTTTTTTATCAGCTGTAATTGAACACGCTATTCCTAGTTAGAGGCGGTTTCTTCTGCTTTGTGTTAATGAATAAACGTAGTTAATTTTGTTCGTTTCCTTGATGGTTCAATAATGTTAAAAAGCCAGAAAGATGAAACATTAGAAAGCTAAGTTAAGAAGTAAAAAATATCCAGTGCTTAAGGTGTAAGGAGCTTTTAAAAATGGAATAAAGGTTGCTTTTATAGTGTACCACTTAAACTACAGATGCAAAAAAAAAAAATCAAGCAACTTTGCAAAAAACAACACCAGCCAAAACTGAAATTAGATGTTTCTACTTAAGAGTGCAATTTGGTTCATATTATCATCATAAAGAAATGAGGTTTCATCTTACTGCCATTCCTTTGGTGTTTGTTTTTTGTTTTTTTTTTTTTTTTTTTTTTTTTAAGAAATACCAGTTTTGTGGTGTTTTCTATATTTTATCACAGAGCCTACTGTGCTACACAGACACAGTTCTGCCCTACCAACATGCGCTTCTGAACTTTCAGAGCATTTCATAAAACTAACGCAAAAATAATCAGATCTGTTGATAACAGCCTGGAGGTACAGGAAGCACAGGAGATAAAAACAAAGCGATGTGGAAATAGTAGAACACTGGAATATTTGCAAGTCAGGCTATTCAGCATTTACAGATGTAAAGGCGTGCATTCAGGGAAAAGGAAACATGCTACAAACTGAGGAGCCATTATATAAAAATGAAATCTGAAACTCTTATGACAAGCAGCGAGCTAAATACAACCCAAAACCCCCAGAAAACGCTGCAGTAAAAGCCAGGGCAACCTTGCAACTTGAATTATCCTGCCATCACCATTCAGTCGCTACAAGAAACCAAACTCAGCTGTTTGCATTTGGTTTGGTATCAGAGTGCAGACGTATGGAATTGAGAAAAATGTTACAGTTAATTTTAAGAATTAACAGGGTTCTTTAGGTCAGGCTATCAGGTGGCTAAAAGCTGTAGGATGATAAGACTGAAAAGATCAATGAACAGGAAACTCTTCCCTCATTTTAATCTGAGTGGGAAAACTCAATCTTTGGAAAACATACAAAGAATTTACAGCACAAGTAGCCAGTCAATTACAAATTCAATATTCCACACTAGAACGCAGGCAGGCATCGTACAAGGGCCAACTAAAAATAAGTGCTTGCTGTAGATTTTAATAATAGCCTGTCCCTGCCGGGGCGATAGGTCTGCGACGGAGTGCGTGAAAACTCCTGAAATCAAAGCAATTGCCCTTATTTCAGACTGAATTGCTACTAACTTATTTCTAGCTGCTTTTATTGATATTTTGATTAATCCAGATTGAAAGTTTGGAGGTGCAGCCATTTTTATAAAAGCGCTCTGCTTGGCACACATAACATCTTTCCAAATAAAAGCAGCACTACCACCCCTGAAACGCGGTTGCCCTCAGTGTAACCAAGTAACACAGCCTATAACCGCAGAAGGGCTTTGCCTGTATACGTTAACTGCTATTTATTGCTCCATCTGCATCCCTCAGCCTATTTATAAAGTCACAGGGGAACGTGCAGAGCTGTGGAGATTAAGGCCAGAGGTATAAACCACCTATATTTAAGTTCCTGTGCTCCCACTATCAATAGGCATGCAGTGAATAGATTTAATAAAGCCAAGAGAACACCTCAGCTCATCCTGACGCAGAAACAGGAGGGGGATGCAGTTGCCTAAACTGCAGAACCAGGTGCTCTTTGAGAGGCCCTCAGGCATCCAAGATGCTCACACAGGGCCAGCAGATGTGCTGGGCTTTACAGAAAATTCAGTAACTGGCTTAGTTACTGAATTTTATAGATGTAAAATATAGATTTTTATGATTATAGAGGTGTTGTTTTTTTTTTTTCCAGTACTGCCAGATCTGGCAGTTACGTACTAAAGCATCTGCAACAGCACCAGACAGCTCTGCGCAGGCAACTGCAATACGCGGCGCGGCAGCTGAGCCGTTTTCTGGTTTCACCGACTGTACTGACCAGGCGTTCAGCGACGACACTTGGTGAGCGTGGAGACACCTGAGGCACAGGCATATAAACGCAGGCACCTTAATCTGAAACTAAATTCTGTCCAAAGCAACTGCAATTTTTCTTCTGTGCATAACTGTAGGGATCGTAAAAACCCCCAGCTGTTCCACAATCTTCTCATGTTTCTATCCAGCCATGGCTAGCAAACCCATAAATGCCGATATTTATGTCAGTCCATAGAATCATAGAATCGCTTTGGTTGGAAAAGACCTTTAAGATCATCGAGTCCAACCTTTAACCTAACCCTGCCATCCCCACCACTAAACCATGTCCCTAAGCACCTCATCTATCCTTCTTTTAAATACCTCCAAGGATGGGGACTCTACCACCTCCCTGGGCAGCCCATTCCAGAGCCTGACAACCCTTTCTGTGAAGAAGTTTTTCCTAATATCTAACCTAAACCTGCCCTGGCGCAGCTTCAAACCATTCCCCCTCGTCCTATCATCTGTTACCAGGGAGAAGAGGCCGACCCCCACCTCCCTACAGCCTCCTTTCAGGTAGCTGTAGAGGGCGATCAGGTCTCCCCTCAGCCTCCTCTTCTCCAGACTAAACAACCCCAGTTCCCTCAGCCGTTCCTCGTATGACTTGTGCTCCAGACCCCTCACCAGCTTGGTTGCTCTCCTCTGGACATGCTCCAGCAATGCAACATCCTTCTTGTAGTGAGGGGCCCAAAACTGAACACAGTATTCGAGGTGCGGCCTCACCAGCACCGAGTACAGGGGCACGATGACTTCCCTTGTCCTGCTGGTCACACTATTCCTGATACAGGCCAGGATGCCATTGGCCTTCTTGGCCACCTGGGCACCCTGCTGGCTCATATTCAGCCGGCTGTCAACCAGTACCCCCAGGTCCTTTTCCACCAGGCAGCTTTCCAGCCACTCTTCCCCGAGCCTGTAGCGCTGCATGGGGTTGTTGTGACCATATATACACTAATATAAAAACACAAAATTGAGAAGTTCCAAATTAATCCATTTAATTTAAAATAACTTTAAAATCTGCTTCACTACACCAAAAGCAAAAACATTCAGAACTTTTTTTTTTTTTTTTTTTTTAAAAAAAAGTGACCCATTTCTTTTTTTAATCCACAGAAGCCCCTTTCAAAACATTTTCTCCCACAGATATGAAAACCAAAGCACAGTGCTATGTTCTTTGGAGAAAATAACATCAATATCTCACATACACACCACTGGAAAAAGAGATAAATCTCCTAATGGCCGAGTCTGCTCCCTCAAAAACTCTTAGGCGAAGAGAAACATATATTCCCCCCAGTTACCGTCTTCTGCGACTTTAGTTATAATGAATGTGTGGATTCTAAAAATATCTTAAGCAGCAAGAATTTTAGAGACAGAATAAAGCAAGCATTTTCCTTTGCCTTAAATTCAAAGTTAACCGAGACGACTGTGCAATTTCCTTTTTTCCCCCCCTCCAAAAAGTCTTCCTGCAACAGATTTGAAGGCTGAGATAATTTGCAGGTTTCTCACTGTGCGAGAGTATTCCATTTGATCAAGGCGCTCCGTATCTGCACCTTAACACAGCAGGCACCTTTGTTAAATACCTGCTGCAGAGTTCTAAAAATATGAAGTCACTGAAGAGACTACATCCCTTTTAGTGCCCTAATGATGTTAGGGATAGATTCGCCTTCACTTTCAGCACAAAGAGGGTGAAAACCACACAGATTTTTCAGTTACAGTCTACCACAGCTGTGGTAGGGATGAGGAATGAGACTCTTGATTGATTCAAAACCCACGATACCCAGCTGGTAAAGGATTTAGACACATATGTGATGCATACACACAGTTGTGCTTTATTAGTACAGGCCTGTACTAGCGTGGCTCCAGCACCAAAGCTGCATAAAAATGCAGTCTTATCCCTTGTCACTGTTGCCAGCAGGTAGAAAGAGAGCCTACATCAGAACCAGCACTCACCTGGAGAACTGGGATACGAACCCAATTCTCATTCCTGTAGGAGAATAGGTGAGAAAATTTGGGTCACAAACATTTGCTGCTTAGATTTCCTTAAATCATAGGTGACATTGCAAACTTAGCGGACTCCCCCAATCCTGTATTATAAGACTGCCAGGCAACAAAAAAAAAAACCAAGGTAGATGAATAGATCTATTTAAATTCACGTAAACCTTCCTCCACAGAACAAACACGCTTTTCCCATCTGAATAGGAATATTTCTATAGCCTCACAAGCACACTCTAAAATGCCACCTTGCTATAAACCAGCAATTAACAGAAGAGTATCCAGCTGGCCTCTGTCCCCATTCTCCCCACCTGCAAACAGCAGTGGAAAACCTTTCACTTTCAAGGATAATGAAACACTTTAAGGGGTTATCAGGGAAGATCGTAGCTTTAACCGGAGGTTAAAACAGGACAGAAATAAATCCACCAAACACTAGAGATGACCTGCAGAATAAAAATACCAGGAGCGTGCACTTTTAAGAACTAAAAGAGTCCTTTATTATTAGGTCAACATATAGGCTCCTTCAGTTTTTGGATTGAGCAATTTGGTGGAAGGAAATGGACATTGCTCGTCTGAAAATTTTCAAAGCTATAGGAAAGATGATTTGAAAGCCTCAAGTATAACACAGACTGGAAAAAAAAAATTCTTCTTGAAACAAGTGTTGTCAGGGAACACACTGAATCTAGAGTCTAGGTAACAATTTCGCCTTAAAAATCAACAGAATTTTCTTGGTTTTGCAGAAATATTCGCATTGTCCACAAAAATGGCATTTAAGAAAAGTTATTCCCTACATGACAGACTTCAGGCAAGGATATCTATTAATCAGGTCCTGATGGTAGGGGAAAAAAACCCTCAGCTTTCTATTCCAGAAATTTGGGATGTTTCACTGGAAGGTGTTTTCTGATTTTGTCCTGGTTTTGGCTGGGACAGAGTTAATTTTCTTCCTAGCAGCTGGCATAGCGCTGTGTTTTGGATTTAGTACGAGAAGAATGTTGATAACACCCTGATGGTTTAGCTGTTGCTAAGTAGTGCTTAGACTAATCAAGGCCTTTTTCAGCTTCCTCTGCTCTGCCAGGGGCACAAGAAGCTGGGAGGGGGCACAGCCAGGACAGCTGACCCTACTGGCCCAAGGGCTATTCCAGACTATATGACTGCCATGCCTGGGGGGAGTTGGCCGGGGAAGAGCGATCGCTGCTCGGGGACGGGCTGGGCATCGGTCAGCAGGTGGTGAGCAATTGCATTGTGCATCACTTGTTTTGTATATTCTGTATACTCTCCTACCATTATTATTAATGTTATTCTCTTCCTCTGCTGTTTTATTAAGCTGTCTTTATCTCAACCCACAGGTTTTACTTTTTCCCCCGATTCTCTCCCCCCCATCCCACTGAGGGGAGGAGGGGGGGGAAGTGAGCGAGCAGCTGGGTTAAACCATGACAGCTTTTAACAAGTATGATTTCTTTTCCTGTCTCAAAACAGATTGGCAAATTAAGACTTGAAGTTTTCAGAAACCAATAGTCACGTCAAATAAAAACAGCATTTAGCATTATTTCTCCTTTTAAGTGTAACCGTACCTTTCATCTTAGGAGATGATGGCTCTTATTTTTTAAAAGGTCAGTTCTCAAAACAAGAAGAGAACCCATCTACTAGCCAATATATTTCTGTTCATACAATTAAAATTACTTTTGAGAGAAGAGGTTTGAGTTTTAACTGATTAGCTGTGCTCTTCCCAACATATACATAAGAAAGAACCTAATGGGTTCTAGTCATTTCTTTTTCAGGTTTGCCAGTATTCACATAAACTATTTGGAGCTATCATCATGATGCTTCATCCTGTGGAACATCTGGAATTTCAAAACATCCCTGTCAGTCTCAGTTCTGCAAGAGCTCACTTTCCCAAACCGACGTTTGCCACTCAGATTGGCATGACAGGGTCTAAGAAAAGCCACGCTTACTTACGCAGGAACACTTTCAAATTCTTCTGCAGTTATTAAGGGCACTTCTTTAATAAGTCTTGGCTCTTTCGTAGGTTTCTTTGCACGTTCGGGTTCTACAACTTTTGCTTGTTCTTCACATTTCACAGTTAGCCCAGTGATGCTGTAAAATGAATGAATATTAAGTGTATAAACAGCAGAGAAGTAGTAAGGAGAATACCATTCCGTTATATTATCAAGTCTGCTTACTCACAGACCTAAGTTCCAACCCATCTGTTAGGCTGGATGAGCACAATTCACGATCTTTCCCAAAAGAAAAATAAATAAAGCAAGCCTACTCCATTTCAAATTGCATACTTTAGCTGACTTCATTCTAGCTCTTCATTTCTCTGCTAGAGAGGCTGCTAGCAGGTGAACTGGCAGCAGCCCAAATGCAGCACAGAGCAGTTAAGAATTCAATGTACCATTACATTTCACAGAACATGAGGCCTCGCTTTTTATCAGATGAACCACAGCACAGAGCTGCAGCCTAACAGGCAGATTTGAAATACTTCACAGCTTTTTGAAAGAAGTTCAAATCTTGGGAAGCCTGACTCATCCATTAATCTTTTGAAGCAAAGAAATTCAACACCATCCAGCAGGCTGGGATTTTTTTTTTTTTTTAATATATTTTTTAATTTTTTTAGGCAAGATCCCAAAAGCTGAGGCGTTTCCTGCTTTGAGTGATTATTAGAGCATTATTTTTATAAATTCAACCTCCAAACTCTCAGCTTAGAGCCTCAAACACCAGGTTATTTGCCAGCCACATACCTAGCTGCTCTCCTACTCATCGGCAAGACAGCAAAGAGGATGCATTTGGCCAAATTCACTGAATCAAGGACATTACTGGGCTGTGAGGCGCAACAGAAATAACTAAAGCAGTGCCGAGCTGACCTGGCACAAAGAACAGATCCTCTGCTTCGATCTAACCTTCCCACAAGAAAAGATCTTTGTTCGACATGGGGCCCCACAGCCAGCGAACGGCACAGCAGTGCCTCTGTTGACCTGAGAGCTGGGATTTGATATGTCGCTTGATGAGACACCCCCAAACCCCGTGTCCCATTTCCCAGGGAAGGCGACTGCAGCGCGGAGGACAGAGAGTGCCACCTGCTGCACTCCCAAACTGGCTGGTCCGTGACACAGTGCCAGCGGAAGCTCTGCTCCATGCCACGCCACAATGCGGAGCCCTTCTGAAATCCAGGACACCAATGGTTAAACTAATTCAGATGTAAAGACCTGAAAACCAAGGTCAGGCCCTGCACAAAACTAACTCTGGCACCCTGGAGCTAGCACTAGTCGCAGGGAATGCCAGCAAAGAAGAGGGAAAGGGAAGGATGGGGATTTCTGGGGGTGTTGGAAGTGGGTTTGGAACAGGAGGATAAACACAAAGGACCAAGGGAGACAAATTGTGTTGTAAAACTTCATTCTTCCTGTACACTCCAATCTCCTGCCATCCTCCTCACTGCAACAAACCTCTTGCCTTTTGTAGATGATTCCCCACCCCCAGGTACTTCTGCTTTGGGTTCCTACCCACTAAATTGCCTGTACATTGCTACAGCGACACGGTACATGTACAGCCCATAGCTGACCTGGGCCACAAAACCAAAGAACCGAAGCTTGTATTCAAAAATCTGGGTTTGGTGTAACAAGAAACTGTTCTCTCAGTAAACATCTGGAACACAAAGGGTACATTGATACATTGAACTTGCTTTTTATTTCAGCGAGATTCCTCCGGTCAATACGAACACCAAAACCAAGAATACAGGAGAGAAACAACAGCCAAAGCCATGAATTGTTCAATTCGCCTGTGTGGGTGTTTTCATTCTTTCTGAGATTTGAAGGCCTGTCTCACCACTGTTGAAGTGCTCGCTCTGCTTTCTGCATTACTTATCCCACAATACCTACTCAACAACTAGCACTCAGCTCCCCAAGCATTTTGGGACATCGAGGAACAGAAATGGAGAGGGTCAACAGATGAAGGTTTGGGGAAGAGGACTGAAGACCCATTTACACAGATACAGATGGGTCCTGACCAACTACAGTCTGTCAGACGCTGACAGAACAGCAGTTGTAAGCTGGCAGAGCACAAGCTGTGGAAAATTCTTAGAAAAACTTGCTTAGTTTTATACGTGTGGTTCTGTCAAGAAAGGGAAGGACCAGCTAAGCTTGTACCACAATTAACTTACTGATCAAAAGCAGGACAAGACTGGAAGTGAAACCAACAACCCAAAGAATCTTTTTGATATCAGAGGTAATACAATCACTAAACAAACCTCATTTGCATGTAAGCAGTTCCCAGGAGCTAACATAGAATCATAGAATGTTTTGGGTTGGAAGGGACCCCTAGAGGTCATCTAGTCCAACCCCCAATAACATAAATAACAAACTCAAGGTTTTTCCTAAATTAAGAAAGTAAGTTCTGAAAAGAAGGCAAAACCCCGGTGGTAATTTCTGAAGAATTTCCATTCTTTCACACACATAAAAAATAAATTCTGCAACATCTAAATTGAAAAGGAACAAGGCATCTCTAGACACACTTTAGGAGGCTGTTTCCTAAACTGAGGGTTCACATCTGAAGGGTAGCATTCAGAAAAAAAGCTTCTGCACAAGCCATCTCTTTACAGCTAAGACTGGTCCGAGTTTCAATACAAGCAGTACCTACACAGATGCAAATATCGCTACATACGACCTAAAATTACCATTCATTTTGCTCTTCTGTAACCTTGTTTCCACATCCTTAACCTTTTACTTTGCTGGAATACACCTGTAATGTTTTCAGCCTGAGGCTTGCCTGGCATTATGAGCAAGAGCAGGTAGAGCTGATCGATTCAGGGCACATATTGGAAGCACTGAATTCAAACAGACAGATGCGTTGCCTTCTGACTAGCTACATGGGTGGAAACAAGTTCTGGGATCTCCAGATGTTAGAATCTAGAGACGCCTATCTGGCACGCACTAACATCACTCAAAGATAAAAAGCAATTCCAGCAGGCCAGAGAAAGAGCTGACCACTTCAAGAAACCTAGTCAGAGTTATAACTTCTTAGAAGCCTTCTGAATAATAGCTGTTGTTTCACATATTTGTGTCTCATTCTCTCACTTGAGCTATTTTATTCTGAACAGCTGCTTAGTACAGCCCTCTCAAAGTCAGGTGGATGTCATTGTCAGCTAAAATAAATGTCAGGCTGCTGCAGGGAAAGGAGAATAAAAATACCACAACCATAATTCAAATCCCTATAGAAAGATCATTAAGTTCATGGATAATTTTTTTTTTAAGTTATATTTAGAAGGGCAGTGTTGAATTTCAGTTCTAGTGACCCAGCATTTGGATCACTAGCCCACCCTTTAATCCTTAGGTACTGCAGCTATCAAATCAGCGTGTTTGCCACTCTAAAGCAAGGAATGCTCAGATTTATCGAAGAACTAGCCTTCTACTGTAATGCCACACTCGCCACTGGAAGCTTCCACCTGACCAACTTGGTATTTTATAGGTTTTACCCAAGGGATTTGTTAGGGTGCTAACACAGAAGCCTGGTGGTGATCAGTCAAGAACAAACTCCAGAATCAATACATACAACAACCTCAGGTCCCAAAAGTTCACAGTTAATATAGGGTAGAAGGAGGAGAGCTCTACAGTGCTGCAGCTGGACACCGCCAGGAGCAGCCCAATGCCTCCAAACACATGTACCACATACCAGCTCCGAGTTGGTTTAGGCAGATGGGGAGGAATGTTTTCACAGAGGTGCTGTGCTTCATTTTGATCTCTCTCAGCAGACTTCTGGAGCTCCTGAAATTAATGTTAGACTTCATCAGAAATCTAAAACTTAATGTCAAGCAAGTAAAATTAGTTTACTATTGGGGCAATGCTAAAATAATTTTTTAACTTAAGAGGTATTCTTTGCTCTCTCCCCATCACCTTACCCCTTTACCTCCTGATTTCCCCAAGAGCAACTAGCAAAGCTCAGAAAAACAAAGCTAAGAGTGAGAAAACATGAGCTTGTCTGTCCTTGCCCTCAAAGCGTCAGAGAAATTTGAGTGGGCGAGAAGTAAATCTTTACAATACACCCTAGCAGGTCTGGGCAGGGGAACGGTGCTGGTGCTGAAGAGATACTACAGGAAACTCATCTACATTCCCCAAACACCACTTTCACAAAAGACTTAACACACAAAGGCACTGCACACACACACGACAGATAAACATATTAAATCGTTTTCATAGCTATTGCAAGGATGTAAAAATAGAATTGCTCTTTAGCTCACAGTATCTATGATGATAAAGATATGCTTTCAATGTATAAAACAATTTATTTTTCAAGGTTTAATGTTCACTATGCTGGAGAACTGATTAATAAACTATCAGTAAGCCTGGTCTGAGTCCCAGTTCCACTTGTAAGCAGCCTCATGCATCCAAACATATCGCTTAGGATCTAGAAGAGAACAACTACGCACTTATCAAAGATTCCTTTGAATCTTTCAGGATTTTATGAACAGGAAAAAAAAAAAAAGGTTACTTTTAGCAAATTGTTCAGTTTTTCTTGCTGTTGAACTTCAGTTTCCATTTTGTTCAGGAGATCATGCAAGAGAACCATGTCATGTCCTATTTTACAGAGCATAGATTTGAGGGATGGTTCTTGACCTGTCGAAAAGGGAACGTTAAGCCAAAAAGCCAAAACGCCTCCAACACAAACCCAAATTCCCATTTCCCTCCCCTCTGCAAGCAGCAATTATCTACTAACTCAGTGCTCCCCACCCACCAGGAGAAAAAGCAATATTCACTGGTCAAACAGTCAACCTCCTACTCCATAGGAGTAGCCAACAGAGTTCAAAGCTGCTGCAGCAATAAAAGCTCCTCTCCAGCACAATGCTGGAAAGCGCTAAACTATACTGACTACCACTGCAGCTTGCAGGTGGAGGACACAGTTTTTAAACACAGCCTGGCTTTCAGCAACTGCTTGGCTGCAGCACCCTATTCTCCTCCGTGATCTCCCTCTGTGTAGGGGAGCCAGAAAGCTACCGCCCTTTTTGGAAACATTTATAGTTCCTCTTCAAACAGCAGGTTAGCCTAGACGACCAGATGACTCTCCCAACCAACACTTCAATGATCCTGCGTAATGTCTGTTTGTGCCTAGCAATGGATAGGAGATGAACCTAAAACACTCAGGACAATTTCAGTACCTCAGTTTAAATAAGTTTGCTACTCACTGCGTGTTTACATCACAGCCAGGAGCTCCTGGAATGCTAGAACGAGACACCTGTATAAAACCTCCATCTGTGCCTTTGCACATTTTTGTAATTAGGTTTAATGTACTCACCAAGATATTTTTTCTTCTCCCACCTGAAACTTTCCCCACCAAGTGTAGAGAATATAGGGTGCATTAGCCACCAGTCTCCAAGTCCCCCAGAGAAGCATACTTTCACTTAGCTCATGTTCTCTGCCTGGCACCCGATTCCCTGATAATGCTCCCATTTTGCCATCCTCACTCACTGTTGTTGTCGTTGCTGTTCACTATATTTTACTTGATTTCCACTTCATCTCACGTTCCTTGTCTAATTAGAGCATTCCCATTTCCTGCAAGGAGGTACCACGCAAACCCCTCTTTTAATTTCTTTTACCTATGTTTCTTAACTGCAGAGTCTTTTTAATAGTTGAAATCTTCATGTTGATGTGAAGGCATAAATCTTCCAGGTCTGAGGATGCCATGTCCCTCTCTTATCATACTGTGGGGAGATAAAAAAGAAGGCAGTCATTTAAGAGCGAGCTAAGCTGCAAACACTGAGCACACGAGCAGAATTTTCAAGAGGGCCCCAATGCATCAAAGCAGCAAAGGGAACTTACATTAATCAGTAGATATAGTAACTACCTCTTTTATTTTATTAAATGGAAAACAGGAGAAAGTGCAAAGTGACTGGCATAAGACAAGACAAAGCAATTTCCCTGAACTCTGGAGATAAACAAGGTGTAGAACCAGTACAATTCCTCCTGAAACTGGGTAAGTCTTTATTATATTAAGGTGTTTGCTACTAAAGGAGTTGGAAGTTTACTGCAATACACAACAAATATCTGGTTTATATAAAAAAAACACTGTAAAGCTCTCTGGGGGAGCTTGGATCAGAAGGTCAGTGTTTATAAAGAGGTGGTGGGTTTGTTGTTGGTTTGTTGTTTTTTTAAGACCAGTAATTAAACAAAAGAAAACGTGCACTTGCTTGCTAGCAGCGTATGGAGGCACAAAAAGTAGCGTGATATACAGGTTACTCTGTGTAAGCACGCTTATTAACTTGATCATAGAAAATAATTAATTAAAAAACCACCAGCGGAAGGCACCTTCCCCCAGGGCAGCAGAATGAGCCCCCGCTACCAGGGGGTAATGGTTTTAAACTAAACCAGGGTAGGTTTAGACTGGATCTAAGGAAGAAATTCTTTCCAGTGAGGGTGGTGAAACCCTGGCAGGGGTTGCCCCGAGAGGGGGTGGAGGCCCCATCCCTGGGAACATTCCAGGCCAGGTTGGAGGGGGCTGTGAGCAACCTGATGTGGTTCAAGGTGTCCCTGCTCCTGCAGGGGGGTTGGGCTGGGTGACCTCTGGGGGTCCCTTCC